AAACATAAATAAATATTTAAATCAATTTTGCCAAATAAGGAAAGGTAAAAGAAAATTCTAGGCCTTTTGAGGGGAGACATGGCCCTTCCCTGAATCCACCAGTGTTGCCAATGGGGCCAGTATTCACCCCCTGTGGATTAATGAAATTTTTAAGGAGGCAATGATGATCAAAGGGTTTTTGGAGGTTTATGGCCAAATATTAACTGACCCTAGGCTAATTGACAGGTATAATCAAGATTCCACTGATTACAAAAAATATTAATGAACTCAATAATTGTTTTCTGATTTCAATAAAAAAATTGTAATAAATTAAAAATTCACTCCTCTTCTTTCGTATCTGTAGTTCATCCCAAGAATCTGGGCCTTAGCTTGGCTTTTAGATTTGGTCCCCTGCACTGGTACCTAAAAATAAGGGGCCCTTAATAAGGACCCATGCAGATGATATTGACAAAGAAAAAATCAAATCATACTATATCTTATATTCTCCATTGCACCAGCTGTATTCTAATACCAACTTCATTTAAAACTTTTTACTTCAAATTTTTTGCAGTTAGAGCTATTTGGACTTTCAGCACCAGAGTGACAGAGAACTGCTTAGGATGTTAAGATAGCTCAACAAATTATAACTGTATATTCACGATCCTCTGTTGCAGAAGAAAATACTCCCTGGAATAAACACTTGAAAAATGTTAAGGTAAGTTAAAAAACACTCAACATTATATCTAAGACATTTATGCGCAATTCTTTGTACTGTGCATGATTGTGAATGTGTATATTATGAAGAATAATGTAAAGAATCTATTCTTTAAAAGGGGTTGGTTAAAGATAACGATTGGATATCCCTGGTCTAATCTAATTCATTCTTTCCAAAAATTTGTTTCTTTCTCCAATAAACATGTTATAGTGTGATTAAAATAATTTTTAATCTTTGCAATTAATTTTCCAGTGAAAATAAACGGAAATGATTTAGCGCTTCTTGATTTATAATTTCATCTACAATTTATTACATTCTTATTATTAGGAGACTACCAATTATGTCCCATATCTCTTAATTCCAACTTAATACTTGAAAAATTCTCAAATTTAGAATGGATAATTTTATTCCTAAACACCATTCCAAACAGGCTACCCAAATCAATTTGGATTTCAAAGGACCAATGATACAGATGATGCGCTGAAAATGGTAACATATCAAAGTTATACCGCAATTTACACTAATAAGACCATGCCTAACGACATTTTTGGATTTGGTCAAAACTATGGACACTGTCAACTATAAAATACTTTTTGATAAGTTATATTATTACAGCATTAGAGGTGATGCTGGTCAACTAATAAAGAGTTATCTTATCAACAGAAAGTAAGTAATTAGAATAAATTACACATAACACAAGAGGTTCGACACAAGTGAATTGACAGTTACCTGCACAGTTCCTCAAGGTATCATTTTGGAACCCTTACTTTTTAACATTAATATTGCATATTAACAATTTTTTTAAATTTTACCGGAGAAATAAATTACTTTATTTGCAGACGATAAATGCATATTTATAAAAGAGGAGTCTTGAGATTAGTTGTAGTAGATCTATTGTTGGGAAAACCATGTTGGTAGTCTGAAATAATGGTGGAAAAGTGTGCTGCCAAAGCATTAGCCACAAATTTCTCAAAAATTTTGAGACAGCGCTGAGATTGGAAATAGGACAGTAATTTGAAATATCACATTTGTCTCTTTTTTTTTAATATAAGGACACCTTTAGAATATTTCCAAGCTGTGAGAAAAATCCCCATGTCCAAGGATTCGTTTGGAAAACTGTTGGGATCTTATTTGACCCAGCGCTCTTACCAGAGTTCAAATGACTTAGAGCAAGAAAAATTTCAGATAACGTGAATTTGGTATTGCTGACTGTAGATGTTGAAAGTCAGCAGTAGTAGTGGGAATGTTTTTTTAAAATATTGATTGATACTATCATTAAGTGATCCAATTATGTAAACACAATAACAAATAAATTGAGATATTTCATTTGTTTTCTACAGGATAAAAACTATAATGAATGAAAAACAACTATTAGATGTAAAAACTTAATCTCAAAAGACATAAAATACTAATCCCACCCATAGTTAATAAGGAAATTATTAGAAAAAATCATATACAGAATGTCCCACCATCTATGGGCCACCCTCATAACTTCTAAAAGGGTCACGATATCAAAGTGCAGTTTTCACTCATCATTGCAGAATCATGGGGCAAGTAATATGTTGTAGACATAGTCTTTGTAATATCATTTCTTTATGAGAAACTTAACCATCTTTCATTTTTTAAATGGAACTATATATTTTTCTTATCAGCAATGGATAGATCATAAAAGGAGAAATACAATGATGTATCATATGTTAGTACTTTAATAGTGATTTGAGTACAAAATTAAACTTTCTGACATGCGATTTTAGATTAAACATAACAGTTTTGGCAGTTGCAAGGACTGCTACAGGAAATGTTGTCCGTTTAATGTAAAATCACATGTCTTCTTGTTAGTTTTGCAGTGTGCAAAATTATTATTGTCATAATTTTGTACTTGTTGCATCCTATAGTAATAAGTAAATACAATGGAAAGTGGGTATTCCATTGTGGCAACAAACTAGAATGATATAACATCAAGAAAATTTATGAAAAAAGTGGGTCCAGATTTGCAAATTGTTTCACCAAGTTAAGTTTTGTTGTCTGTACAAAATTAGTAATCTATGCATTATAATATTCATTAAACAATAAAGAAGGTGTATGAATTTAAGTTTTTTGTTGTTAATTTTATTTTTATTCATCCTTTTTTCTGGAGTTTCACACTTTCTTGGGGTTTGGGAAAATATTTGTCCAGAACTTTTATTGCTTCATGATTTGTTTCATAACATAAAATTTCTTGAAACAAACTTTAAAATTATGTAATGGCAACTACCATGATTTATTTATTATAATTACTTACTACAATTTATTTATTAGGCGATTGTTTTAAAATTCCAGTTTAACAAAGTAACGGATTTGTTACTGACAGAAATTGTAATAAAAATAATTGTAATTATAATATGTTAATGTAACAGAAATTGTATTACATTAATATAAATTCATCATAATAAAGGAGATTTAGAGAGACATCACAGGTCACAACAGGATGGGTTTTAAAAACAAAAAAAACTCAGAGTTGACACAAGAGACATTTTCACAAATCTCATTCCTAAGTGGAAATGGATAGAGTACTAAAGATATTATAGAACAAGAATGATATGATAGGCTCAAGGAAGCATAACACAATAATAAGAAAGAGTGCCACAAATACAAAAAGAAGAGCAGGAAAGGTACTAATAAAAGCTAAGAATAGGAAAAGTTCTGGAGGAGCTCCGATTGCAATGGAACTAATAAAATACAGAAGTAAAAAACTAAAGGTTATCATGATTGAAGTATTTCACAAAGTTTGGGAAGTGAAATTAACCCTAAAGGAATAGCAAACAAGTATGATATTAAATTTCCACAAAAAAGGATTGAAAACAAACTGCAATAGTTATAAAAGGATAATGATTCTATCACCAGAATCAAATCTTTTTACCAACATACTAAAAAACAGTCTGAAAGAATACAGTGATGTTCCTGTGAGATGAACAAAATGGAAAAGGAAGAAAAACAAACTGCACAGACATACTGAAGTGAATTTATCAACTTACCTATTGTTCAGACAACTAATATACAGTATACTTTGAAAAGGCATTCAATAAATACAGAATTAATGAGGGAAATTCTGAAATAACAAAATTTACCAAAAGGAATTCTATGTTAATGCAGAACTTCAGATGAGTAAAGGCAATGAATAAGGAAAAAGTATGAAATATTTCACAATTTGTAATTAAAATATATCGATATAGAGGGCAACCTACATTGCAGGAAAATGAATTGAATACAAACAAAACTAAAATTAACAAAAAATCTGATGAATAAGGACAAATTACGGAAAGTAAGGAATCAAAGAAAGAAATAGGAGAAAACCAAATGTCATTAAAGGCAATAATAAAAAATAATAAACTTTAATTAATATTTGGGCAATGATATTGCACAAAAGATGAAGATATAGAAAACAAAATTCAGAAATACAACAGAAGAAATGGACTAATCAAATGTTATTTTGGAATGAATATGACTCGAGGGATCACATTAAGAATACATAATATTATGATATCAAAACAAATATTCAGTAGCAGATCAGAAGAAAACATGGACTGGCAAAGAACTGAGGGCCATGCAGATGATTCTATGATGTCTTGTATGAGTCATGCTAAGGGATTAGCAAAGAAGTAAATATTTTACAAGTCTACACAAAAATAATGTAAAAGAGATAGAGGAAGGTCAGAAAAAAATTGTTTTTTTTACATTAACAGAATGAAAAAGAAAGATATCTGTTGACAAGGTTTAATTGTAAATAAATAAGGCAAAGATACACGAGAAGACCAGAAAATAAATGGTTATATCAAAAAACTTAAAGAATTAAAAAGTCACCAGATCTATAGAAACAGATGACACTCCTAGCAACTTGCAGTATATGATGATGACAACAATGATGATGCTGAATGATGATGACATGAATTGCTTTATATTTATTTAATATGCATGCAATTATTTCAATACATGAATGAAAATGTGCTTCGATCAAAAGAAACCTACACAAAGCGGTTCTAAACAAAATGTTTTACAATAGGCAGTAAATGTAACATTTATTATCTGCTTTGATATCAATCTTCAGAGTGGCAGAACGCCAAGGTTCGATTCATTATGACATGCGGTACGCGTGTACTGTGTTCTACCGCTAATAATCTTACGTAATTTTACATGTCTTGGTACAACAATGAATTACTTAACATATCAATGAAGTCGGAGGAGAGATGTTTTCGCCCAATGTTGGCATGCTTTCTCTTAGGTCGAGTTGCGATTCGAACGTGGTCAAAGATATGACCTCATCGCAATCGATAAGCCCCTACCCTACCCACTTGCTCCCGCCTCCGCGACCTTCTGCCTGTCGTGGGGGTCGAGTAGAGGCGCGAGTCAGTGAAAATGTCAGTAGGTGAGCTGCGCCTGCCGTGGACGGGTGTAGGGTAAACCCGAAGTTTTCTGTATGATGACAGAACATGCATGTTTAAGGGATATGGTTATGGACGGCGATTTTGCACCGCCTCTTCCGGAGGGCCGGAGCACCAGAGCTCGACAAAACGGAGTTGTACAACCTCTGTTAACAGGTGAGAAAAGGCTGTACTGAGATGATTTTTCAACAAGGTATGATTTGTTAGTAAACGAAGTTTTCACGTGTCTGCTTGTGATTAGTGGATGTACATTTATGAAACATTGAGAGATATCATATCATTTAAGTCCTGGGAATTTCCATGTATGTTTTTTGGAAAATTGTTTTTAGTTTGGTGATACACGTGAGTTGTGAAAGTAAATTTTCATTCATGCCTATACGAGGAATACTACGAGATCAATTATACAAAAATTAAATGTACATGTAAAGATATTTGAAGCTATGTTCATCTTGTGTGGTATTTTATTTTATTAGATGGTTTTCAAAACACTGACAAGAAACTTAAAATTACTAAACAAATTTATACAGAGAAGAAATAGTGCAACTCATTGTGTTGTCTTATCGTGACAGGCGGTTATTTCATCAATGAAAACGTTTTTAACGATTTAGACGAGGATCTGCCTGTAAACGTGATATTAACTTGCATGTCATTTTCACATAGTAAACAATTTTGTTGATAGTCATAATGAGCAAGTGTGATTTTAACATTTATATTTTAAAGTAGGTACTGACCTAGTTTGAGTGCATATTGAGGAAATTTTCATTCGAATTTGCATTAAGTATTAAAAAATTGTTATTAAAATTTCATATAGAATTATTTTTAATGGGTTTTGTGAAACAAATCATAATTTATGTAGAAGTTTGTGTCTATCAATAATTGTAGTTGTCATTTTTATAGAAATGAATTGTCTCTATTAATTTTACTTAAAATAAACAATTTCTTTCTTGTTGTGAATTTGTAAGCTTGCCAGAAAATAACCTTTATTTATTGAGGTACATGTAACCTGTTTCATGTCATTTTAATTCAGTTATGAGTATCAGAAATGAGCATTCGTATTCTTTAAGTTCGTTATTTTTAAAATCTTATAATTGTTTCTTATTCTTGGGATATGTGTGTATGTTTATGGTCTGTATTATAGAAAGCTTTCATAGCTGAAGTATTGAGATTCAAATTTTTTCTTGTTTATTTTACTAACCAATACATTTATATTGATTATTATTTACACTTAGCTGCAGTTGCAGGTCATAAAATAAATAATTGTGAAATTTCAGAAATGACTACCTTCTGGAAAAAATTATATTAATTTTGTTTCAGATCTGTATCAGATAACAATGGCATATGCATATTGGAAATCTGGTAAAATTGCTGATAATGCTGTTTTTGATCTGTATTTCCGAAAGAATCCCTTCCAAGGAGAATTCACTATATTTGCTGGGTTGGAGGAATGTCTCAAGTTTTTGGAAAACTTTCAATATAGTGACAGTGGTAAGAACTAATCTTCAGAGACTGCCGAGTTATTATCTTGGATGTTTATATTAAATTCGGAACATTAAAATGGAAAGTAATTTGTATGTGTTTTTTTATTGTAGATATTGAATATTTGAGGAAAACATTACCACCCACAATTGAAGCCGAATTTTATACATTTTTGCGGCAGCTGACTGTGAAGGATGTCACAGTTTATGCAATTGATGAAGGATCTGTGGTGTTCCCAAGGTAGGTGTTCAAAAATCTCACTCTGACTTACTGTGTTTGAGGTGCAGGAAAGTTAATAATTAAATTCTGACTTTGAAAACTGAAAAACGTTTAAAATGTTTGAATTGGAGGACTAAAATATAAAATTTAAACTCCAATATATTAAGGAAATCCAAGATTATATTTTCTAGACGTTCTATTTATTATTGATCAAAGAAAGTACCCCTCATTACTAAGCATCTCATCTTTCAGAATATCATCTTGCATGATAAAAAGTGATGTAAAACGTGTTAATCTGCTAGAACCACAATCGCAGAATTAATTTGGATCGCACAGGATCCAATGAGCGTAACACTGTCGCGGAATATAGGACAAAGTTTCAAACTTCCAAGTTCGTGTATATTGCAGGGTATATTTCTTTTGATTTTGGGAGTCGTTATAAAGCAGGCCAGTTTTCCGATTGCGTATGTAAAGCGTGTTGGCGGCGAAGGTGAAGTCTGTAATTATGATCGGCCCCGATTCTAGCACTTGCGCAGCGCCCTGCTGTGGGCTTGGTTTTGCATTTCTACGTACGCAAGCGATACATTCTCTTATGAAGTCAAGGCTTCGTACTCCCACTGCGAGTTCTGTCGAAACTTTCGCCTGGTGGTCACGTGACGGGGATTCCTTTTGCTTGAGTAGAAACTCCTCCCGCCTGTGGTCATGTGACGACGGGGAGTCCCTCTGCTCGTATTTCGTCGATAATCTCATGTGGTAACATGATAGGGATTCCCCCAACTTGCAGCTTCGAATATCCCCACTTCATCACGTGAGAACTGTGAATACCTCTCCTTTTTGCGCTGCAACATCTCTGCGGACGTCTGCGGTGTCAATAGCGATTTCCCTCTGCCTCCATTGAATTATCACGTACCTACGAATATTCTCTCAGCATTTCGGGTCCAATCATTTTCAATTTTTTCGAGCAGTCAGTTTGTATCTAACATCTTAAATGTATACCCCCAAACAGTTGTTTATATAATCCTTGAATTGTCCCAAACTTGAAGCTGTAGGTTTGTAAAATTATTTCTAAGTCCAGCATCTTAAATTTATTGCTCAAAAATGCCATTTTAAGAACTGTTTCTGACAACAAAAAGTTTTGAATGCTGAAGATTTGTTTCGAAAAGCGTCTTTACAAATTGCTTTATTATGCCAAGTTTGATCTACAAAGAGGATAGCAAAATTATATTCGAATTTATTGATCTGCAATTTATTCCAATTTTACTTACTTTCCTTTATGTAACTAATTTTGCAACATTAGCATAGCAATACTTTTTCGCATTATTGAAAATAGTTACGAAATGTTGAAATATTGCAATTTCTGCTCTAATAGCACCTCAGCGAGATCTTGAAAGAGACAAATCCAAACGAAGCGTCTTTGGAGCGTATACATATCCGCAATTATTTCGATTGTCAGGACCAGTAGTGATTTCTTACTTTTACAAATGAAACAAACACGAATAAATTTAACTATAACAATATTTGCATCACATAATACCGAAAAGCAAGAATAACTTCACAACCATGCCTTGATTGCATTGATGTGAGCTTTCAGTTTTTGAATATTATAAACAGCGATCAAAACTTCTTGATGAAAGGAAGTTTAGTCTTAGTTCAAAGCTAATTCTAAGAATATTATCTTCATCATACAATCATCACGACCGACAATAATGCTATGAATTCGGAAACCACTGCTTTGCAGTGGCGTAGGCTCAATGGATGGTGATATTTCGCATCCCAAGTTTTTGGGCTCTTGAAACTTCTCTTTAAAATATTTTTCTATTAATATGTATCTCTCTCAGCCCTGTTTGTAACGTTCGTTTTTTTCATGCGCTTTCGGGTAGGCGTCCGTCACCTCTGTGGATGTGACAGGCCGAGAAACTTCCCTTATAGACCATTTCGCTTCTTTACCGAAGTCGAACTCTCGCCATGTGGTGTGTGCAAGATGCGAGGTTTCATCCAGCGGAGATGCGATGCTGACTGATGCATATCGGACTTTTCATTAGTTTTTGCACGCCTTGGCAGACAGCACTATCGATCTTCTGCGCATGCTCAGCTCAAGTCTCGCATCACTTATGTGCATCTGCGCATGCGCAGAAGATCGGTAGTGCTGACTGCTATGGCGTGCCAAACCTCGCTAGGGCAGGGGCTTCCAAACTTTTTTCGTCCACGGCTCCCTTGATCTAAACAAAACTTTCCGCAGCTCCCCTGGTAATAAGTTTGTAGTGTAAGAGTCAATATAGGCGTATTAAAAATTTACCACAAATGAGTGATATAATAGCCTATTGCCAAAGGACTTGCCAGGTTCAATTAATCCATAATTAATTAGTAAATTAAAACAAATTACAAATAACATACGAGTACTATAATAGTATACAATTATTTTGTGGACGTCAATGATACAAGGATTAAAATAGATCAACTTTCAGGATCATATTTAATAAATCACGCTTAATGCGGCCGCGACGCCCCTGGGAGCGGCGACGCAGTTTGAAAACCCTTGCATAGGGCATCTGTATATCTCCCCCAAATCTTCGTATTCGCCTCCTTTGAGCACCTCTTCTTTCAGTAGGACGGGGAATCCCAGTGGTCACGTGTTAACGACTGGCCCGGGAGCGGTTGGGGGCGTCTTGATCACACCACACTACACTTGCACGTTTGCCAACCGTCATGACCCAGAACCTTGCCATTGCGTAACGAGACGTGGATTATCAGTACTGACAAAGAACTCGTACCGCATTCCACTGGTAATCGTTCTTTGTGTTCACGTGTGTTGCGAAAGTGTTGCGTTTTTTCGTGAAAGTGAGTTATAAAGTTTATAATATTCTTCCACTAAAAAAAATAATCATGGTTTCGAAACTGTTACGCGGTAATTTTGAATCTAACAATATTTTTGCGAAAAGATGCGACATGGTTTGTTGAAGTTGCATGTGGCAGGAGCCTGCATTGACATCGGAATTTATTATGTTTCACGCAATATTACGCAAAAGATTGAACATGACCTTATTTGAAGATCTTTTTTTCGATGAACACTTCTCATTTTAAAAAACCTTCATATTTGTAGTCGTAGGGAGACTTATGAAAAAATCTGAATTTTTGCAATTTTCGAAAAATCAGGTATTTTAACGTAAATTAGATCTGCACCATTATTTGTGCCGTTCTGTTCGCTGTCCGAGGTCAAAATTTAATAAAAAATTAGGAGCATTTCTTTTTTTTCGAAATTTTAAAAATATCCCAGGGGCTTCATGTAAAGTATTCCCCAAAATTATAATATGTTTCAAATTCAAGGGGCTGCGTCATCAGCCAGATCGATTGGGGAATATCAAATTTGGTGAAAATCATTCCTGCTAATGGTTTATCCACCAGCGTTGTTTAGACGAACGGACACGTTTTGCCGTCAATCGATTTTTCTGTAGTAAGGACCCACGAAACATGGATTATGTCCACTACTAATTTACTCGCTCTCCCCCTCTCCCTCTTTCTCTCCCCCGTGCACCGCGTGTGCGCGTGTGTAAAATATTAATCCACTTTTTAATTACCAGGGCCCGGCAGTAAGAGGTCTTTTGTCGAAACTTCGCCGTTATCCCTGCTGCATTACAATGCTTTTTACTTTCTCGCTACGGAGTAAAGAGAAAGTTATGTAATGCTGCGCGAAAAATGGATAAATCCCGTTGTTAAATTTAGAAAAGAAATCCTCTAACACGTGGTTGAGCCAGAATCTCTTTCTTGTAGATCCTTGATACCGAAAAATAGATTGACGGCAAAACGTATCTGGGGGAAAAACCTACCGGCTAAATTGTTGAGTCGATTTTCTCCAAAATTGATCGTTCTCGATCGATCTAACTGGTGTCGCGGCACCTTGAATTTGAAACTGATATTTTAATTTTTGGGGAGTACTTTATATGAAGCTCACAGGACACTTAAAAAAATGGCACCATCGATTTTGATTAAATTTTGTTGTTGGATATTTCTAATGGCATTTAAGAAAATGGCGCAGGTCACATGTTGGTTAAAAACTCTATTTTTCGAAAATTGAAACAATCAATTTTTTGGCGGCATCTTCCTACTGCTAAAATATTGAAGATAGATTTTTTCCCTTAATTTATTTCTTAAAGATATTAAATTTTAAAATAGGGTCATGTATAATTTTCCGAAAATATGAGTATAATTCGCGTAATCTTGCGTAAAATATAGTCAATTTTTAATTTTTGTGTAAATATTTTTTCTCAATTTCCATCGTTTTTGATGAAATTTTGTCGATGGATAGTGTAAAAGGCATTTAAATAAATGGTGCAGGACTATTGTTGGTTAAAAACCCTGTTTTTTCGACAATTGAAAAAATGTCAGCGTCTTCCTACAACTACAATTATGGAAATACATTTTTCTTAATGAAATGGTTCATCGAAAACAGATTTTCAAATAAGGCCATGTTGAATTTGTCGAAAATCCGAGAATTTTTGGAGTAATTTGGCGTCAGAGTCGCTCGCTCTGAAAATCCTGGGTTCTTGATAGCAATTCTGGTAGTTTTTTGAGGCAGTTGGATGCTACGTAAGTTTGAATGTGTATATTATTGCATATTTCTTTGTTTGTTTCTTACATTGGAGCTTTTGTTATACGTTTACACGTTTATCTTTCAGAAATTATTTAAAACCTATTTGAAATAAATATGGAATAAAGATTGCTAGCTTTCAGTTGCTCGTAATTTACGCAGTTCAATGCTACGTAAGTTAGAATTTGTATATTGTTAAATATTTCATTTTATTATTTACTATATTTATAATATATTTATTTTTAATTTTAAATTGCGACCTTTAAGTGTGTTAAAAGTGAAAACTAATAGATGAGATGTCATTGTTGTAGCGCCGCACAGATAACAGAAGGCGATAAAGACGGCTACTTTTCGTTCGCGGTACTAAAAAGGAATACATTTATACATTAGTAGAATATTACATTATATTCTTCACTTTATTTACGTAGAATTTTAC